TGAATTACTCAGGATGAGTTTGGCTTGTGAATCTTTTATCTTTCCTTTGACAGATGTTGTCTTTATTCAACTCCTCGATGATGAATTTCTTCGGCTAATGATTCTCCGCTTTATTTTCTGTTTCTACACAATGCATCTTCATCGAGCATTCAAGGTATGGCAAACCGATCCAGGGTTTAGAAGAGTATTTAGACTTCTATGTAACCCATGAAATGTTGTTGGAATGACAGCCTATTTTAGAAAATACAGATGATTCTCCTGTAACTCAGTTGACCAAATAGGATTCATGTGCGCATAGAACAGTTTTTAATTGACTGTCGAAAGTAATCCGGATTTTTATTGTTTTTGCTTTTCATTGCCCTGTGAATGGCCCAAAAGACTCACCTTAAGTCTGTCAAGTCATCACAAAGAAAAGTGAAGCTAATCACGACTCGGTCACTCGCGTTCACGGTTTTCCCGCGCTATCCTACGCTTTCCCGCGCTATCCTACGCTTTCCCGCGCTTTAGGCGAAAAGTGCTCTATGATATCGAGTGTACAGGTTTTTTTTTTTTTTTACAAAGTTTTAATCTGCAGTATTTTTTCTGACAATTGTAATGAATATATTGTGTTTTCCTTTGAATTCGTCTTCCCTCTTTCTTTAGGGGTCAGAGTTCTACCCAAAAAGTTTCCCAAGATTACCCGCAAAAGAAATTCTTCTCAACGGCAGCATAGAGAAACAAGTTCTTGAACTGGCCTCCATGTTGGATGTACGGAGTCTTTTCTACGAGATTGGAGAAGGTCCTCCCACGGATTAAGACTTTTTCAGCTTCTAGCGTCACTTACGATGATTCCGAGAAGATCGTTATACCTTGCACGCTGGCGTGACATTGAGGTGGGCGTGACAGGCAGAGGCGACAACATTTCTGAACATAGCGTGTGACCCGAGTATTTCGGCTGTGAATTCTGTTCAACGGATAAAGGATTTTTGATTAATCGAGGAAGAAATGAACCTTGAATGATTAGACACGCCTCACTGGCAGCTGAACCACTTACGTTAAAACGGTTCAGAAAATTGAGCACGACTAGTGATTATTGAAACTATCGAGGAATGTCTCTATTTACTACAGAACAGATGGCAATTCCCGTCCAGCAACAATCTTTGCTGATATGAATGCTGGAGATCAAAAAGATAAATTTATACTGGAGATTGAAAAGTACACCGCTTTTGGTCTTTCTTACAGCAAATATTTTTGAATCGGTGTTATAGGCATTTTTAACGACATTGGAAGTAAATATACATGTACCTAAGAATCAATTAGTTTGTATAACGTTAACACGTAAGTGGATTAAGTTTTGTGTTTGTGATTTTTCTTTTGCTGTACTTTTTTTCTATTATCTGAGATTTTTCAACCTCAAAAATGGTTGATAGACAATTCATTCTCAGGCTAAGAGGAATTCAAACGGAAACAGAATAAAACGCTGTTACTCATATTTGCTGTTTATGATTTTTTTTCTTTGCCAGATGCAACCTTTTACCCCATTTCACTACCTTACCATTCCTACATCTTCAGGACGGAGAAAGGGGGAGAATAATGGGAGGTTAGGAATTAAGTGCTCGGTGTGTTCTGATTATTTATGTGAGTGATTGGCTTGGGTCATTCGCGGAGACACAGTAAGTGATGTGTTCCTCATGTGCCAATTAATGATCTCTCCTAGAGTATTGCGTAGTTACTGAACCGTGTATTGAACGTTTTTTTCCTTTTGCCTTTGAATTGTGAGAAATCTGTTAAACCAGACTAGGGGCCCGTTTCTTTAAAGTACCGGTAACCTGACGAGCCCTTAAAGCTGTTCTTTTTTCATTCAAGAAGGGATTTTAAAAGTTTTGAAAATGGTACAATAAAGCTATCACCTAAAAGAAAACAACTTAGGACTGGTTTGGGTGCTAGAACTTGCTTTCCTATCCTCTAATTTTGATTTTAAAACATGGTTTCGGGCCTGTTAAGTTACCGGGACTTTCGAGAAACGGGCCCCAGGGGCCTGGTAACTAAACGGGTCCGAAGCCATGTTTTAAAATCCAAATTTAAAGGATTGGAAAGAAGGTTCTGGCACCCAAACCAGTCCTTTTTGTTTCTTTAGTGGTAGTTTTATTGTATCATTATCAAAACTTTTGAAATCCCTATCTTGAATGAAAACAAAACAGCTTTACGAGCCCGTTGAGAAACGGGCCGCAAATTCGATCTGTTCATTCGATTAAACAAAAACAGAAAATAAAGTTATCAGTAGACAAAATCTTGTTTTTTCTTTTCGTTTGTTTCATTCCAGCGAAAACAACTACATTTAAACGTCATGACTCAAATTAATGGTGTCATCGTGACACACTTCTTTCTCATTGACGTCAAGTGGAAATCGCTATTGAGGAAAGTATCTCATTTTACAAAAATACGTTATTTCTCGGTTCGTATACTTTATTTTTGGCAATGATTTCTTCAAACATCTTCTGAAACAGGAGCCATTTCACCAATCGAGTCTTCGCAAAGTGACGAAGTATTGAGTCAGGGTCGCCACCTTCCCCACAAAAATTCGGGCTCAAACAGGTGCGACTTCGCAAGGTAAACTTGTTCGTGAGTGTGTGTAAGTGAGTGAGTGTGAATTAGCTGTGTTATACCGTYGGTCCTGTTTATTACGTTTAGTGCAGTAGTTAAGTATTGTAATGAAAGTTGTGTAAAAAGTTGTGTGCAATGCAGTAAAGAAAAACTATATAAATACCGAACCAAACGAAAAGGAAAGTTTTGATGGCGATCAGAACGAACAAACAGAGGAAAGCTTTTCCGAAACGTTCGTTATTCCTTCTCTGACGCTAAACGACGGCGGTGGATTTCAAGAAGGGAAAGAGAGCGAACATTGTTAGAGTAAAAGGAAGTGCAAATCATCGTCGCCTAATTTCCGAGCTAAAGGGAAAAACCTTGACCGTGCTAAATCAAAAAGAAACGATACATCCTCTGGCAAACATTTTAAAGTGGATTCATCAAGCAAAAGAAAGCGTGGCAGGTCACGGCCACCGCTTTTTCTGCGAAAGGACAAATCTGACAAACACGCGGGGTGTCAAGAAAATAAGCAAGGCATTGGCAGTGAAAACATCCATTGGAATGAACTTTCGTGGAAGCAGAGAAGAAATGCAGTTTGCATGATGTTAATGCCCGCTGCAAATTTTAGAAAGCTTTCATCATATTTGAGATTATTGTTCGAGATAAGCATGGTGTTCGGAACTGACTTAGTTTAAAGAAACAACCTCTCAACCGAACATTTTCACATTGTACCCTCTTTTCTTCCCGTCGATAGCAATTTTAATGTTTTTCCTTTGCTCTGAATTTTTTTTTAACATAAGTGGTAAGGAAAAATACGAATGAGGGATTTATTTTCCACTTGTTCATTTTCAAGTGTTTTAGCTCCTAATTTTCAAAATAGCATTCTATTCTAATAATATTCGTATCGATCGCACAAAGCATGTGCGAAAGACGGGAACAACTCAAATGAAGCGCTCGCCATTTACGTTCTTTTATGGCAAATTAAAACGTCTGATGCCTAATAAACGTAAAAAAGAATGATAATCAAAGTTTGAACCATCCAGTGGAGCCATTTTGTTGCTCGCTTTCCGTTCATGTAATTTCCTGCTCTAGATTGTAATACCGTCGCATATTTTGCGCGTTCCGCGCCCCAATATGGTTAAATGACGTAACATTTGACAATTATTCACCGCGGTGGAAGATGACGACGTCAAGAAGATGAGAAGGACCTGGAAACAACTTGAAAGAGCAGCCCAGGACAGAGCACTCTGGCGGAATGGTGTCGGCGGCCTATTCTCAAGGAGGAGCGATGGGCTTAAGTAAGTAAGTAAGTGGTCCACTATGGCAAAAAGACGTCGTTTTCTGTCGTCTTTGTCGAAAATCTCTTTCGTTTTTGAAGTTTGAATTATAATTTTCCTCTCCCTTTACCCCCTTGTATACACGCGCGCCGCGCGTGTTTTTATAAATTAGCCAATCACATCAAAGAACTTTAACCTTGAATTGAAATTTGACGTGGACATTTTTGTTCTTTATCTCTGTGCTTTTTTGTTTTTATGGAGTTGTAGTTTGGTTTTTGTTTTTGAGTTTTCGTCCACGTGACCTTTGATTGTCTCGTTCCAGTCCTTCCAGCACTGAGTAACATTAGAGCGAACACCCTTTCACCCAGTGAGGCCCCATTTATATGGTCTCTGGTACCCGATACAACCTGAGTTACCCTGGGTGAGCTAACTTTTCACTTATTTCTTTACAAAAATCAGCCGCCCGTTTACATGAGGTTGTGAACTCGTCTCGGGAAGCGAGATAACTCTGGGGCGGGGGGAGGGGGGCGAGTTGTCTCACCTCTGCATGAAGGGCAACCCTGGCATGAAGGACAACTTTTTCTTACGTAAATGCCTTGTCTCGTCCACCCGAGACGAGACAACTCGAACAGAAAATGCGTGCGCATGCTATAACCAGAGCACGTACGTATTACAAGAAAAAGACTCCCGGCAAAAGAAATGACAATGTGTTCACGCAGAAAAGAGAGCGTGGGGGCTGGGACAAATTGTCGCGCCCCCTCGCTCTCTTTTATTCCGTGAGGACATTGTTATTTCTTTTACCGTGAGGGTATTTGTTTTGCCGTGAGTCTTTTACTTTTTACCGTGAGGTTTTTCTTTTGCCGTAGGGTTTTTTCTTTTGCCGTGGGTCTTTTATTTTTGCCGTGAGGTTTTTTCTCAGTTGCCGGGAGGTTATTTCTTTTGCCGTGACAGTTGTGGGCCACCGTACGTTAATGACTTTTAGACCCTAAAATCACACACAGCAACGCTTGGGCCGCGGTTCGCCTCTGATCTTCCCGACTCTGCGATCTCCCGAACTTTCACATTCCTCCACTATTCAACATTCCTCGCGCGTATTAGCCACACATAGTTAGCGAAGATACTGGTAACCGGTAGCTGTAACCGGTGACTAAAAGTTCTATGTCAATCTATATGACCAGCGGAAGTACATTTCAAGATGGGAACTTTATCAGCTTTTGGGGTAATGTAATGAAACAGCTGTAACATTTTGTCTCATGTCTTAAAATGGTGAGTGAATTGATTACTCGTTCCGTAGAAATTTTATTTGATTTTAACGTGTTTTTCCTACCCATTGGGAATTTCACACAAGCTTCTCTTGCAAAGAAAAATCGAAGGATCAACTTGGTAGTCTCTTTCATCCGCTCACAGTAAACGCAGAGTTTGTGAAAGGATAGCATTAAAATAAAACGTATGGATGATTACGACTGTTGTTAAAGCGAATGAACAAAATATATGTGTTAATGAAATCTATTCTTTGCCGATGATTCTCTAGGGTTCTCAAGTGAAAGATGTAAAACTTCCCCCTGATTCGCCTACACAACTGCTTTTGAACAAGCACGCTGATTTTATTGCAGCATACGGGAAGAAGAAAGACGACTATGTATGTAAGATAAGTGTTACAGTTTTTCAAGGTAGGAAGATGACTGATGGACTGACTGAATCATTGCCTGACTGACTGAGCAACTTGCATATTCAGTATAGTAGCGGACTAATAACTGCCTGATTGAATGCCCAGTGGTCCAAATGCCCACCTGAGTAAGTGACTGACTCACTGGTTAGTTGATTCAAAACTGAATAATGACTGACTAACTAACATACTCACTAACCTCCTAATTAGCTGACTAATGATTAACTTATTGACTGACTGA